TCAGATAGCTGGAAATAGAACAAACAGCAGGGAAGTACAATCCTGATTTGATGAAAACTGCAATCGTTTGTTCTTAGATTTCGCCAAGGACAGCATTTGGCGAACTTGAAATAAAAAGTCACGTTCGCAAAGATAACAGCTGAAGATACAGCAAGAGGTAACGCCCCACTAAAAGTAAACCATTTATTTGACATAGAAAAATATTGAACAAGGATGAAAATCTGGAAGAAAAATGAACCGTTTTATATTGGTAAATAAAAAATGAAGCCAATCTCTGCCCACTCCTCAGACATTTTCCTTTGAGAAATTGGAAAGAAGTACGTGGACTGTTAAAATGAAAATAAACAGCATTTTTTTTCCTCCTTTTCTTTTTATAGGTCTATTTCAGTACTGTGCGTTCTATCGTTTCATTTATTTATGTAAGTTAAGAGCCTGTCTCAACCTCATGGGCTGTAAATAATAAAAGTTTTGAGAAAAGAAATGCATTATTTGCGTTCCATAAAAGGTATATATTTCAATATTTGATTTCAACAGCAGTTCAATGCTTAAGGAATTCTAAGGAGTGGCGAAAGAAATAAAACGATTGATGCTGTGCTTAAATTCTGTTTTGCGCGTCGTAAAAACGTTGCAAATTCATAATTAGGATCAGTAAAGCAATATTTTTATTTTACTTTTCCAACTTTGAGATTTTATTATTTATTGAACTTCGTATGATAAAATTACTCAAAACGTTTGAAAGAAACAGGGCGTTTGAAAGATATTTTCTTCCTATTCGAAACATCGAAATATCAGAGAAGCTTTCACCTCAACTTTATTAAAAATCAAGTATTTATATTACTTCAAGAAAATATTTCTTTTATAATTATCTCATTTTGAGAACGAGACCTTCAGTCTAAAAGGGCGTTAATCTGGTGTTGTGTGCAAACCATTACAACAATTTTCTGAAATGAATTAAAGAATCTAATTGCTACCGGCTATAAGAAAAATATCTGTTGGATGAAAGAAAAACACAAAATATGAAACAAATTATAGCATGTATCAAATTAAAAAAAATACTTAAGGTGACTATTGATTTTTTTAAAAAGAGAAGAAAAAAAATCATTTATCTACTATGTCTAAATTCTATCTATTATGGTGTTCAAAATGAAAAGAGTTTTCATTTTTCGTGATAACTTCAGAACTAATAACTCCGCTGTAAATGCAATTTGGTATGAAAGTAGGTTGAAATAATACAAGAAGGAGAATAATTCTCAACAACATGTGTTTAAAGCACACAAATGGTTAAGCGTTACACAAATCGCAGTCGAAAGGTATGAAAAAGAGGTTACAGGATTAAACTAACAAAAATAAGATTGACATGTCGTTAGCCTTCTTCCAGTCTAATATTATTTATATACAGGCCTCACACTAATTTAATTCAGTTATTAAGAGAGTTTAATATTCCAGTGACGATCGACACCAATTGTTTATCAGTTCTGTTTACAGGTCCTGAAAGGTTGCTCTTTTTTTAACCCAGCTGTGTTAAATACAGTCTTCAAATTGATAAGAAAATGAAAAAAAAAATTTCAGTGGGGAAGCATTTAAGACGTCGTCATTGCAGCTTGTGAGGTCTCATAAGCTGTGTCGTCCAGATGAAAAGATAAAAAGATGCTGCTGTCCGAATTATTTAACATGAGCAGTATCATTATCTCTCCTTTCTTTGCAAAGATAAGTCAGTGTGACAGGAGAAAGATTGATTCTTTAGTAGTGAAATAGCTTAACAATATTTTTAGTTATGGTTAAGGCAAAAAATTTACCTGCTTCTAAAATGGCTAAAAGTTGCATAGTTTGTTTCTTGCAATTTAAAACAAAAATAATAATTCTTTTCAGAATTTTGAAAAAGTAGTGTCCGGTTTGAAGAGTTAGAAAATAACGTTTCAGAACAAAAATGACTATCCGGTAACGGGAGTGTCCGGTTTGCTAGTATGTACATTATGGCTTATATTCATCAAAGATTCACGAGGAATTAAAAATATGTCCGTACTGAGAAGCGTCCATTTTGTAGGAGTGTCCATAACATGAGGTTTCCCTGTATTAGGCCAGGGGTATCTTTCAAAGCTATGCAGACATACTAATGATGTTTGTCCTGACAATCAAATACCCCTGTCATTAATGTTTGATATCACGGACATGTTAGTGTACGTATCAGGTTCCTGGATTTCATTACACGTGGTATAAGGTATGGACATTTTATTTACCCTTCAATATCCGAGGTTATCATCTAAAAAAGCAGTTGCATTCAGATGATTTGGGCAGGCTTCAAATTGGATTTCTGCGCACACCAGTATAGTATCTTTCACCAGGAGTTGGCACTTGGCTCCACCTCTACGGACGAATAGTTCGTTTCAGCGCGGGTCTGAAATTGAGACAACCCTTGATGCATCCCTTAACCCATCTCCTGGGGAACGATATATGCGATTGAAAGAACCATTGTGGCTAGTGTTTGTATAGGGATATGGTCTTTAAGTCCCAATATGCGAATTTTTAGTGGTGCAATTGGCCCTTATTTCATTTTGACGAACAACAACACGCGACATACAACTTCTCCAAGGTTTGTATCAGAACCTCTAGGCTACTACCTTGGACACTCTGGCGATAGCATTTGCAACTCACAACGCTGAGAGACAGAAAGCATTGCAGATAAACAAGTGGGAGAAATTGCCACATGTGATTACATATATCGTCTTATTTCCTCAGTAAAACCACAGTATGCGGATTGTGTATCACTGAAAAGTAAAAATAACCTAACCACTTATTATTTTCTTTTTTTACGATTTAGCGTCAACTGTTTAATGAATCCCACAATACTAATAGACAATACAACAATACAAATACTAACAGACGTTTTCAAAGACTAAAAAAATATATGAGATTCAACCATAGGTGGATCGACAGTGTTGAGAATGAGAAAGACATCACTTTGAAAATCAAAAGCTTGAGGAGAGTCGCCAAGCAGAAGAACAGTGTGTGGGGGGGGGAACTCATAGAGAAGGCCAGAGCCCACTCAGGGCTGTCATGCCAGTGAAGAAGAAAAGCTTCTGTTTAATACCTTTCTACTATAATGAGGGTTATGCAAAAGCATGCATGTGCATTATAAATATCAAACAGTTTTCTTTGTTTGTACTATGTATAGCAACCTACCTCTATACCAAATATTTTTGTTAATTGGTCATCTATTAGAGGAATAATCATCAAATATGAAAAAACAAATTTGAACATCCTTGCAGCTTCCCAAACACGTTTCGGTATTTAAATAATTTTGGTTTTCACTGATACTGGTAGAAGTTTTGTAAAAAAAAAAAAATATGGCATCATTCCAGATTTACAAAAAAATTATGGATCCATCTAGGAAAGAAAATAAATTAATAAATTCATCAGATAATAATCAATAACAGTGGTTCCCAATTTATTTCGGCTACGGAGCCCTAAATAACAAACTTTACTTTCAGTGGAACCCCGACTTTCTAAATAAAGTTTATTAAGATAATTGCGAATGCTATAACCTATTAATTTAAAAAATATTTAATTCGAGGAAGAAAGATTTTTCATCGTTTTATCCTTTAATAAATTAGATTTTATGTCCAACATAATTATAAATTTTTTTCCGCTATATCTAGTCTAGATATGAATTTGTTTTTGGTGTCTATACATAAACTAACAATGAATAAAATAAGCTCAATTATAGTTTACTTCGAAATGAAAACTTGAAAGAACTGCTATAAACGTTGTAAATGGGAACATATTTTTTTATTAAAGAATTCATTTATTTTATGTTGATTTGGAAAACCGTGGTAGGAAATATTAATAAAATATTTTATTATAATTAGGAAAAGAAGTATCTTTATCTTTTAATAATTTTTTCAATATATTGTTGCTATTAATAATATATTTTCTATTAAAATAGGCCATTTTTATTGCATTGGCATTTTACTTGAAACAATTTCATAAGGGCAATCAAATATAATAAGAGGTTCCAAAACTCATATTTGGTTCTAAAAAGTTCTACTAACGGAACCCCTTTAACTCGTCCACGGAACCCTTGGGTTTTGAGGAACCCCTTTTACTTGTTCACGGAGTCCGCTGGTTTCACGGAACACCATTTGAGAACCACTGATCAATAAAAAATACAATAAAAATTAGCATCGACCTAATTTTGATTTTATTGATTTGTCAACGCATCTCTAATGTTAGGGTATTAACTAATTTGGGTAATTGTATGATGAAATTATGATATCGATCTAAATTGAAAAACTATGTACAGTACTTATCGGATTTTTCTACAACTGTGTATTGTGCATCCAGTTTGAAAAATAATGCCTTGTTACTTTTACGAAACGTTTAAGTTTTTGATTTGAGTTGTTATAATTTGGTTTATCAAATAAAATTTAAAATTTAAAAACTATGAATAATTTTTTCTTATCATTTAGTTGATATGTTTATTTATTAATATTTTTATTTATTTGATTATAATTTTTATAATTTTATTTAATTGAAAAAAATGCATTTATTTTTAAAGGTGTCATATTTACAGCCTAAATAATAATTTACAGAACTTCATCAACAGATGAATTAATTAAAATAAGAGTTCATGGCATGATTAATATCTTCTTGCTTTTTATTTATCTAGATATAGCTTAATTTATTGAATACCAAGACCTCTCTTCTTTGGTTCGTGCATTGAAACAGGAATACCTATTGTTTTAAAATCAGTACACAAATAGAGTGTCCTGACAGCAGACAGCAAGAAAAATAGTTTTATCGTTTACTGAATGTTGGAAAAACTTTTTAATTTGACACTTTATCATGATTTGTTTGCTAGTTCATGAAAATTCGAGACCAAAAGATTTAACTTTTATCATAAACATGATTACAGTTGCTAAAATTATTATCTATACTTATTTATGTTTCATAATTGAATCATATTTTTTTCCAGTTAAACTGTATCAAAAATGCTTTCTTACTTGCAGGCAGTCGTAGATGTCCATTTATTCAACAATGCTGTTCAATTTTTGCACAAAGGTTTCAGGCATTTAAATAGTTCGAAAACCTAAAAGCAAAATAATAGTTTCTTGTTAAATAAGCATTGTTTAATTCAACCTCTGTTTGACTTTTATTTATTCTATTAATGTCTGTTTTAATAAAGTATTGAAAAAACAAAAATCAGTAAATATCATATATCATAAAGAGTGTTCTTCAAAATTATAGATAATGGAATATTTTAAGTTTCAGAAATTGGAATCATAAATTTGATAGTTTTACTGAGGCTGTAACACGAGTTTCGAAAATGTCGATGTCTTTCAGGAATTTTCCGTTTTCGTTCTACAAAATTTACTTTTTAACAACGTTAGTTCAAAATTTACTTTTTAACAACGTTCAATTGCTAAATTGCAGAAGTCTATTTTTACCATTTTGACAAGAACTAAGAAATTTTATTTATACAAAAAAACGATACTAGTCAGTACTTAGTTTTTCTTTTTACCAATTTGAACTTAAGAAGTAGAACTTTAAATTCATTTTCTGAAGCAATATCTTTTCACATTTTTTCAATTCTAAAAAGTTATATTTCATGAGCTTAAAAATAACTCCATGATATTCGTAATATAAATATTTAAAAATTTGCTTTCAATTCATTTTCTAGAATTAGCTAATTTTATTTTGAACTTGGTTTAAAATTTCTTCAGAAAAATAAATTCAGCGAATTTCAATCTCAGAGAGTATTATCTCTGAGCTTTAATATTATCTCTGACCAAACTTAAATTTGAATAATTCTGTAATTCAAATTTAAGTTTGGATAAATTCAATAAAATGCAATGATATCTTTAATATTAAAGAATAATATTTCCAGTTATATCAAAATATTCACAACATAGCTTTTTTTTCTTTAAATTTTTCTTTAACTGACACATAGAAAAGCTGTAACAAACTTTGTGTGTTTTTTTAATGGCATAATAGAATTTAAAAAAAAATGTACATGCATTTTCATAAAAAAGTTTCAAAAATGTTCTACAAGACTTGAGTTCATCTCTTTTTCAAAAATATTTTACCTTTACTACATAAATTTAAGCGTGTTAAAAATTTTTCAGAAAACTAAAATAAAAACGTTATTGAATTCAACATTTATTTGATTTGTGGTGCAAGTTTAATTTTTAACAAAACATATGCAAAAACAGAAGTCAGAGAGTGTTTTCCATAATCCGATTTCAAAAGTTTGCGCTTCAAAGCATTAATAATAAAATATTTCGCGTTTCAGGAATTGGAATTTTAAGTTGGTAGCTCTGAAGAGAACTCGAGATTGAGTTTCGGGAACTTCTATGACATTCCTGGAATTTTCTATTTGTGTCTTACACTGAAAATATTCGAAGAAATATCGCGAGGAATGGAAATAGTGATGCAGAAAACATGACTTTGATATTCATATTTCAATCAATATTCCCTATTCGCTCGCCCTGGTTATATTGATTTCTTCAACCTTTGATTGTCCGTTATTTTGCGTACGACGAAGACTTCTTTTTTTCAAATATTAGATGAGAACATTATTTTGGCCTTTCCCTGTCCCAATAAAAGCCACGTTTCTTTTTGAAGCTAAAAAATAACTCTTTAAAATATGTATTAAAATTTTAGCAGTATATTAGAAAATACTTTAAACCTAGCAATGATACAAAAAATCTCATTCCAGTGTCTAAGTCAAAAATCTTAATGGTCCCATAAATTTTTTTGATGGTTCATGTAGATTTCAGTGTGGTTCATGATGGTCCAACATCATTTGATGTTGGAACAACATTTTCCATTGGAAAAACATTTTCCATTGGAAAAACATTTTCCATAACTGTTTGTCTAAGATAGGTACTCTGACCGCCACTAAGTCTGCGGCAGTCTGGTGCTATGGAAACAAGAAGAGGGCATTTTAGGGAGGGTAGCTTCGATGAAGAGGTCTCCTTTTCTCTCGCCGAAACCAGTCCTAAAGAGGGACCCCTCACCCCTACTCAAAATAATCATACCTCGTTACCATAGTCACCGCCACAGCTCCAGACGAATGTCTGGCAGAGTATCTATCTTAGACAAACAGTACATGCTCATGGTATTTGATATGCCAACAAACTTCCATCATTCCATGATGGAAAATGCTACTTTGTTACTATGATGGTTAACCATCAAGAGAAGTTTGACTCTCATGAACCAACAATCCGTGATGGTTCCAACTATACATTTGATGGCTTAATGGGAATTCTTGTTGGTTCTCAGGATTATACCATCAGAATAATTATGTTTTTTTTATGTTAGACCATCATAAATCAGTCCGAATTCCTACATCGGGATGGTGGATGTTCATGATCGTTCCAACATTTGATTTCTAAGATACTATAACGGAAATTCTTGATGGTTCAACATGAAAAAACCATCGAAACAAGTGTCCATTCTTATGTTGAACCATCATAAATCAGTCCGAATTCCTACATTGAGGTGATGGTTACTTATGTTGGTTACCATCAATAAATATAATGGTTCCTGATGGAATTATTGATGGTTACCATCAAGATTATGTTGGTCCATCAATGGAAAAATCATCAAAAATGTTGACTTAGGTAACAATTTAAAACTCTTAAAAGCATCTTAATTCTTCAATAGCCTAATAGTGCTGCAATTTTGTGTGTGTAATAACTTATTAATTAGAAATTCTGTTAAATTTGTAATGATTTAGTGCAATTAACTTAGTTTAATCCAAAAATGCAAATTCTATCCATTTTACATAAGAACCTAGCCTTACTTGATAGACTAAAAATCAATTTTTTAAGCTATTCAAGATAATAACATTGATATTTATTTTGTACCTTCGACTTGATATTTACAATGCTCTGTTAAATTTCCAGATTGTTGTTGTTTAAATATTAAATAAGTAACATCAGAATGCAAACATTTTCGAAAATGATGAATCCCTCGAACTGTTTATTTCCTGAAACAAAATATTTAATTGAGGGAAATCTGCAGCTCGTTTGAATTCTTATATCACGTTTGATAAAGAAAGAAAAATTTAACCTAAATGTCATAAATAGCAGATAGAGACCAAAAACAGCTATAAAGAATAACATTTCATTAATTAAAAATCATTATTTTAAACTTCTTCAAAAATATAGCCTCAAAAACTTTTTTCTCTCAAACATTAAGAACTTGTCTACCTCTTAACCCAACTCTTTCCTCAATTTTTTTTCAGATATTAATTACGACGAAAATATTTATTTTGAAACAATGAATGAATAAAAACAGCATAATATTCCTCTCGTATCATACAAAGGTGGCAATCTCTTGAGGCGAAAGTAATTAATTTTTTTTAGATATACTTTAAATTTGTATTAATCTAGGAAATACTGTTCACTATATGCTTAACCATATGCAGGCTTAACCATAACTTAATTATGGAAGGGTCCAACAGAATTTTTTTTTTACAATGCCTTAACAGTTTCCAATCCTAGAATCGCGTTACAGTATTTTAATATTTAAATGGAATAATAGTGCCTTAAGTATCTTAATTTGGCAGTGGAATAACAGTACAGAAATCCTGCAATGGCTTAATAGTTGAAAATGGTGTTAATCCCTGTAATGGCGTAAATAAGGGAAATACCGTTTATCCTTTAATGGCTTAACTGTTGACACAAATTCTGAAATGGCTTTTCAGTTGGAGGTATTTTTAAAGGCATGATGGTTAAATGCATTGAACTTGGTTTAATTAAGAATGGGGTGCTTTATTTCTCTCTTAGGAAAAAAAACATGAACAGCCTTTTATATCCAAAACAATTTTCAAACTTTTGCAAGAGAATGATAAAGATATTAATTTCTGGGTATCGGTTCTGTTAATTCCGCTTATTTTATTTTATTGCCGTCGTTGAACAGCCGAGCCATTGTTTGGGTTTGCAACTACTACTGTTCAACTCCGTACCCTTGTAAGTTGAACCCAATCCAGACAACACGGGAACTCTTGGACGAAGAAGTAGGAGAAATTTGCCTTCGTATGGGACTTTTTTAGCTCGTATTTGTGTTACATGGTGAGGAAAAACCCCGAAAACTTCCCATGGTTAGCCTGATTCCACTTCCAACTTGCACTGACTGCAGTGCTGATGTGAAATATTTTCAGTGGTAGGCGGATGATGGGACGGAAACCCTGGAAACTTCTTATTGTTAGCCTGGCGGCAAGGGGACTCTAACCCATGATCCACTTACCACTAAGGATATTTTACGTCAGGACTATGGTCAGTGTAAGCCAGATGTGGAATTCGTATTGACCAGCCATCCCTATGACTCGAACCCGGAACCTCATTGGAAGGAAAATGCTCTATACCCCGAGCCATCACTACTCAATTTCACTTATTTTTAGCGTCCCGCAGTGGACTGATCGTTAAGACACGGTTCCCAGCAGATCACCGAAGTCAAGCATCACTGGCTACGGTCAGTGTGCGGGTGGGTGACCACTTGGATCAGTCTGCGTAGGGACCGAGGGTGTGCGGTATTGGTCCTCGTTAAACTGTGCTACCGTAAAGTGCTCGACTTCGCGCGCAGGTCGTCGGGCTACCGAAGCGGGGGTGCCATCCCCTCCGCAGAGGATCAAAATTGTGATGGCATGTCTTCGGATCATCCTCCGGGATGTTTCCCAGACCGTCGCCAATAGCCCATTGTGCAGCTCTAGTGCGACGTAAATTAACAACAACAACAACAACACTTATTTTTAGCAAACAGTTAATTATTGTGCAACACTTCATCAATAAATGTGGCTTCTTATCACGTGTCTCACATGACTTATCACGTGTCTTTTGCTTACTATTCATTTATTTATTTTTTTCGTAATTATGTACATGTCCAATTTTTTTTACTAAACGCTTAAAATTTTGTCCGATCTAAAAGCTTTGATTAAATAAATAAATAAAATTGAGTGCCAGTAAAAATAAGACCACGTTTTTACCGCTCAAGTTCAATTTCTTAAACCTATAACAACACAAACAATGTTATTAAACCCTTAATTGTGCAATACAATTTGCAATACGATACGGTGTTTATAAT